ATTGTGGGAGCAATAAGCTGACTTTGTATAAAAAAAAACACTGTGGGGGGGGGGGCAAAAGCCCTACTAAGCAGGTATATACAAAAGTATGAAGGCTATTGCTTAACGCATTGTAAGCCACCCTGAGTCTCTGGAGAAGGCAGAATATAAATCGAATCAATCAATCAATCAATCAATCAATATTAGGAAACAGTCAATATAAATCTTAAGGATACCAGCAATAAGGTTATAGTTATACAGTCATCAGTGGGACTTAGTAAAAAGTTTGACACTGTTGAGGGAATTATTTGTTTAGCAGCATGATGGCGTTTGGGAAAAAATGTTCTTGTGTCTACTTGTTCTGGTGTGCAATGCTCTATAGCGTCGTTTTGCGGGTAGGAGTTGAAACAGTTTATGTCCAGAATGTGAGGGGACTTCCTTAGAAGTTCAGTGGGGAAGCCAGTTGGGAAGGTTGCATGCTATTACTGCTTGCTGAGATGACTTCCTTTTGTCTCTGGGGGCTGGCTGAAAGAGCGAGGGCTGAAACTTTCTGACAGGCAGCCCATTTGTCCTGAAAGAGCTACTTGCCAAAGGATATCAGCTCTTTTGCTCTACCCTCTTAATGACTCAGAAGATTGCTTAATGACCAGAACTGGGAGTGCCAGGATTGTGGTTGTTGGATGAAGGAGTCTTATGATGTATTCCTAACGACCGTGTTGCTTTCAAAGATTAAGATACTGATCCCAATTGTAGCCACCTGTAATCTGATTCAAGCATTTACCTATATGGGGAATTTCCCAGAAACATATGCAGATTGCCTGCAGTTTCATTATAAAGATATAATTTTCAATTACATATATATTGAAAAGTGCTAGGTGTAATTTGAATTTTTCACAACATCCCCATTTGCCATTCCAGTGTTCTCCAAGGGCTTTCTCCCTCCAGGGAAGAAGACGGTTCATCTGTCGCCAGCAGAACCAGTCAGCCCTGCCTCACCAGCATCCCAGTTAATCCCTCATCCTTCTTCTTTCCACATGCAATAAAGACGTATGCTGTTTCACCTCCTTTTAAGAGAGCCCTGATAAAGCCTCCTCCTTTCCCTCAGCTGACCTGTGGAACTGCCTGCCACTTTGCTGTAGGGAAGGGGAATCAAGGGAGATACAGACCATAAGGAAAATTGCATCCTTCACCACTCTGCCATGTCCCTAAGGGACTCCTCCCTCCAGGGAGGAAGATGGCTCATCTGACTGCCTGTGCCCCCAGCCAGCCCCACTTTGTTAGCAGGCATTGAAGTTATTCCTTCATTCGTCCCTTATCAGTCACTATCATTAAGAGATTACAAATTTCAGCCTTGGTTCCAGAGCAGCCAATGGCTACTCACTTAGTCAGGCTTTGCTGCCAGCTGACTAGATGCAGGAGCCAGAGGAGGTGGGAAAGAGAACAGGGATCTGCCTACTCTTACTTCATGCAACCTACAACTGCATCCAAGTGTGGTTGGATGCTGAAAGAACAACAAATTTGCCAAACTTCAATCCCATGTAAGCCATGGGTCCTGAATTTTGGATGCATTCAGTAAGTTAGCCCATTTGAGGTAAATTAACTTCAAATTTGTTGCTCTACCTCACCCAATTGACAATTACAAAATATCAAAGAGACATGAAAATTTTAGTAGTATACTTAACAACCCATGAGTTGTTGGGTCATCCTTTCAGAAAGAGTAAAGAATAAGAGTAAATAAGAGTAAGACAATGATCATGGGTAAGCAAAATAAAAGCAGTGAGATGGGAACAACTTCTGACTTCCTGATAGCTTCTCTCTGACGTTGCTTGTGGGAAACTGGCAGGGGGCATCAGAAATCCTGGGGAACTATTTGTCGCTTTGCTGGGGAGAGGGTGATTGTGAAGAAAACTGCATACTTACTCACCATCCCAGTGTGTGTCCAAGGGCCCCTTCCTTCAGGGAAAAAGAAGACTTACCTGTCGACTGCTGGCACCCCCCACTCAGCCCTATTTCACCAGCAGGCATCCAAATTGTTCCCTTCTTTCTATCCCTTATTGTCCACTACCATTGAGATACAGGTAGTCCTTGACTTACAAATATTCGTTTAGTGACAATTCAAAAAATTGGCACTGAAAAAAGTAACTTATGACCCCTTTTCACACTTAACAACTGTTGCAGCATCCCCATGGTCATGTGATCAAAATATGGATGCTTGGCAACTACTTCATATTTATGACAGTTTCCATGTCCTGAGGTCATGTGATCAACTTTTGTGACCTTCTGACAAGCAAAGTCAATGGGCAAGCCAGATTCACTTAACAATTGTATTACTAATTTAACTGCAAAGATTCACTTAACAACTGTGTCAAGAAAGGTCATAAAATGGGGGAAAACTCGCTAACAAATGTCTCACTTAACAACATAAATTTTGGGCTCAATTGTGGTTTTAAGTCAAGCACTACCTGTATTTCAAATTTCAGCCTCGATTCTGAAGCAGACAATCCCTGCTTACCTGTTAGATCTTGCCACCGGCTGAGGAGGTGCAGGGGCCAGAGGGAGGTGGGTAAGAGGGTAGGGATACACCCCTCTCCTTTTCCCTTGCATCACGGGACCTATGGGTTTTGGGGAAATGTAGTTGAATGGAGCAGTGGAGCTGAAGGGGCCAAATTTCTCTCCTGTAGGAGTCATAGTTGCCAGATTTTGGATGGATTCTTTCAGTTAGCCATTTGAAGTATGCTGATTCAAAAACTGTTACCCTATAATACCCCCAATCTACCATTAAACCTAATGGTAGATTGCACTTGAAGGTTTCAAAATATCAAAGATATACAGTTTTAGTAGTATATAAAGAGACAGATTGCAGCAGGATGAAATAAGCCTTTTTTTTTTTTTGATCTTCCAAGAATGTTTCTCGACATATATTGTAATGCCTCTAGATGTATCTGGCAAAATTAGCTCACAAAAGCAAGAAAAAGGAGGTGTAGTAAAGGGAAATTTATGTTCTAGTCCCCGTGTGTATTAATACCTTCTGGAAATAGTCGGCTTGACAGATCTGCTTTCTGCCTCTCCCTCTGCTTTTCCCTCATGACTGTGACTCATTCTTAAGCATCTAGAGAGCCCATTTCCTCTTTGGTGCAAGATGGATTAGTTTTAACCTATTTGGATTGTGCATCAGCTTTCAGGGTGAAAGTGCATGTTTTTGTGTAGCTTTTGTCTAATGGTAGTAAGGAATTCAGATGTGTGATGACAAACAATAGTGAATGAGGAAGTACCAGAGGTCATAATAAGCTATTCAACAAGGAAAGGTTAGTTACTACTTCATACTGCATTATACCCTAGTCCACCTCTTTACAAATACTGAAAGGTCTATATGACTCTAAAGTAAACTCAGTCAATAATCTCTCTGAAAATTATATAAGCGGAAATAAGAAATATGGGGGCAGCAATATTTTCCTCCAATAAATATGGAATTTGTGTTCACATGATCACTTTGTATCTCACATTTCAAATACAAATCATGATTAGTCTCCTATATTATATAAAATGGGGAATTTCTCTCATATCTTCTTCCACTAAAGGATGTCTAGAAGGAGTATTTTGACTAACACTACGCCTTGTTTTCTTTCCTAAGCTATGCAACTTTGAACAATAATTATTCATATCCCCAAAATACATTGGTCACTAAACTGATGCACATAAAGATTGAGAGGGCAAGGAAGCACACCTATTCTCATTCCCTTGATGAAATACAACTGAACCCTACTTGATCCTCAATGCCTTCCCTGCACCATGTGACTCACAGATGCCTGTGCAACAAGCAGGTTTTTAACGTGGCTGCACTTGCAGGCAAGTGTTCACTCACTATCAGACTTCCACAAATTAAGACTATACCTTGATGCCACCGGCGCTTCCTCTATAAATTCATGTTTGGGCAGTTTATTGGTGAAATTGGGTATATTCAAGTAAGAGGAAATTACCAATATGCAAATAAACATTTGCCCTTGCTTGACTTCTTGGCCAACACAAAGCAGATGTTGAAGGAGAATCTGCAGATGAAATCTTTTTTTCTGAAGCAAGGAATTATATTTGAATCAACCAACTAAATAGCTTGTTTACATAAACCGAGCTAATCTTGGCAGGATCTGTATTTCTGAAATATATTTCTGCTGGATATATCCTAATAAAACAGATGTAAAAAGGACAATAATTCCCAACTAAAAGCACAGTTGTTCCCTGCATTTGCTATTAAGCTAACACAACATGCTCTACTAACACAGCATAGTATACGTTTCAAATAATTGACAAAGAACAGAATGTAACTTGCAAGAATAAAAATAACCTACAAAGATTGAGAACATAAATAAAAATAGTTTCATCATTTTATATTCAAGTACAAATGAAAACCTCTATAAAAATCTATTTACATATGGTTTCTAAAAACTGTATTGCTTAGGATGCATGATGTAGTCAATCACCAAATATATCATCCAGTCTTTAGTCTGAATTTATTACTCGTGGCTATTTGTATTCATTTATCAATCTGATTATTGACTTTTATCAGCAGGTAATTTGCAGAAATATGGTCTTTTCGGTCTATCATTATCAATTATTTGTTATGTGTTACCACTCCAGCTTTCTTATTTCTTCATAAATAACTTCAATTGAATTTAATAAACTCTAACGGCCAGGTTATTTGGGGAAGAACTCAAGACCTAATGTTAAAACAGATGCAATTCCATAGAAATAAGTGTACAAGAAGCATAAATACTGAGCCAATAACTAAGTTCTATTTCAGAGGCTTCTGCAGAAAACTGAGATTATATCAAAGTAACAGCACGTGTGAGGTGATGTCATAATACAAATTCTGTCCTTACATGTAAACAACTTCTAATGCAAGCTGCAGCTTTTGTTGTCACTGTAATCACATATATTTTATCATTTCATTTCTTTGGACCTCAATGTTGTAATTATAAGTGAATAACCCTGAAAAATCTGAGGGAAAAAAAAACACCTTATCTTACCACTTTTTCCTTATAAACAATGTACTTCAGCCACTTGAAATCCTGCCACTTGAATCCTGCCAGCACAAACAGGGAATCCTTCTCATACTGCTCTGGTTTCTGGATAGCCCCTTCTGGATATGTTATCCGCATTGTTGTCTTGCCACCAACATCTTTTTCAAAGCCTTTCACTGGAGCAGAATTCAGCCTTCCGGGAGATAAGAGAAAAATTATGAACTGTATTTATACTTGAGTTCAAATTTTTGTGTAGCAAAAATCAATGTCAGGAACTCCACTACAGTAAAAATTGCAAAGGCATCACACCCAAGTTATTGAGGATTGTTACTGCCAATAAAGCAGTAAGCGGTAAATAAAGCAAAAAACAGAACTTTCTGATACTGCCATTAGTTTACACTATAAATGGTCTATTCTTTGGAGACAAGATATGTGATTATGTGTTGTATGGAGAAAGGATTACCGATAATATTGGCAGAATAGGTTTATTTTTTATTTATTTATATTTCACATTCCTGAACTGCCATTTCCCTCAAAGAAGGACTCTGGGCAGTGTATAATAAAACCTCAAAATATGAAACAGCATATAAAAATTAAAATGTTAGAATTAAAAATTTAAAGCAGTATAAAAATTTTAAGGAGGCAAGAATAACTAAATCTTGTTAAAGTCATGTTATTTCGGGAGTTTTCAATTAAACCAGGGAAGAAGCAACAAATTCCTTTAGCAACTTGATACTTCCCAGCTATTACTACTAACAAAACCAGCAGGTTCTGATAGGTTCTGGAGAACCGGTAGTGGAAAGTTTGAGCAGTTTGGAGAACTGGTAGCGAAAATTTTGAGTAGTTTGGAGAATCGGCAAATACCACCTCTGGCTGGCCCCAGAATGGGGTGGGAATGGAGATTTTGCAATATTCTTCCTCCAGGAGTGGGGCGGGAATGGGGATTTTGCAGTATCCTTCTCTTGGACTGGGGTGGGAATGGAGATTTTGCAGTATCCTTCCCCTGCCACGCCCACCAAGCTACATCATGCCCACCAAGCCACGCCCACAGAACCCGTAGTAAAAAAATTTGGATTTCACCACTGGTGTGAATGTGCTTTTGAAGAATATATTTAAAAAACTGGAATCTATCACCATATGAATTACAGAGTTATCATGCATAGGAGGTAGTAAAAGGCCATAATTACTGAATCCTGGCAAGGCACTCCAGAACTTACAATTTTGGATGACTGATACATGTTCACTTTTTGTTTATGTACTGGTGCTCTATTGTCATAAGTGAAAAAACAATACAACTTTGAGTGGCCAAGATTTAATTTATTTAAAAGTTACATTGAGTATTTTCTATAAATGGAACTCTGGAATATAACCTCTGCAAATAATAAGGTTCACTTGTATCATTACTGCCTATATTGAAACAAACAAATTGCAGGTCAGGTACAAAAACATTAAATGCAAGATCACATCAAATGCAAAGTGTTGTGACATAAGCTCCAGAAGAAAGCTATTTCTATCTTCCTTGCCAAGAATCCCATTTTGAAATAATTTTGGAAAAGAGTTTCTTTCATTTGAGTGCATTGGAAAAGCCTTGAAGCCTTTCCTTTTATTACCTTCTAAGCTGTTCCTAATCCTCAGCAGTTGTGGTGCAGTAAACAAATTTGGTGTAGGAGGGCTGGGCCTTTTAACTCTTTAATCATTCTTTCTGCAGTGTAGCAACTGCTCCTTAGAATTAACAACTGCATGTATAATGCAATATCTTCAACAGCCTGTTGGCTATCAATTATGCCTAATATTAAGCAAAATAGGTTAATACATCCTATTTTGGGTTGGGAATTAGGGAAGCTTGAAATTGATCACATCTGGGAGGCACCAGACTAGGAAGATGGAACTAATATGAGAATCATATCATTAGGATTGTTTCAGTGAAGATAGAATAATGGATTCTAATCAACAGATCATTTCAAATGCTGAAAAAAGAATCAAGTATTCAAACGTTGAATAATGGATGGCTGTTATTTTTGTTAATTTCACTCTTTCTGCTATTTATAGCAATATGAATGACAGCTGCACATTGGTCATCTAGGTGTTGATTTTATATCAACACCTAGATGACCAATGATTGATTTTATCTAGATTGTATATATATAAACACCTAGATGACCAATGTGCAGCTGTCATTCATATTACTATAAATTGGAAAATAGCCCGTACAATATTTTCTCTTCTCTTTTGCTGAAACAACTCACCTGATAACAATGTCATAGTCATCAATTTTCAAGCCCAGAGATTTGTTTGCTAGAATGCCACCGTTTCCCACAATAATACATCGTCTGCAGCTAAGACTGGAAAGGAAACAAAAGAACAGCTGTTAAACATCCAAATGCATAAGCACGTAAATATTTCTGGTCCAGATCTGAGCCAGTCTCTCCTAAAAGAATCAAAAAGTAGTTAATTCACAATTAAGAGAATGACCCTTGATAGTAATACACTGAAGGAATTGGTATTGGAAGATGATAGACATAAGGTTATGTAAATAGACATTCTAGAATTTTAGAAATTGGTTGGCCCTGTTTATCTGTTTTAGTCTAACTCTGAACTTGCACATGAACAGTTTATGATCTCTTCTTACAGTTAGACCTTGGCCAATGGCCAGGTCTTGATTTATAACTGAGCCCTTCCATCTCCTTGTGGCAATACAAGTAATCCTTGACTTACAACTGTTTGTCTAGTGACCATTCAATATTACAATGGGGCTGAAAAAAGTGACACCACCATTTCTCACACTACAACTGTTACAGCATTCCATGGTCATATGATCAAAATTTGGATGCTTGACAACTGATTTGTATTTATGACAGTTGCCTTATCCCAGGGTCATATGATCACTTTTTGCCACCTTGGTGACAAGCAAAGTCAATGCTACTAACTTAACAACTGCAGTGATTCACTTAACAACTCTGGCAAGCAGAGTCGTAAAATGGGGCAAATCCACTTAACAAATGTCTCTCTTAGCAACATCAATTATGACTACCTGTAAGTTGAGGACTACCTGTAATAGGATCAATTTGGTTTCTGTGTACTCCATGGATGTCTTTTTGCAACATTTTACAAAATTTACAGGACTGTCAAAGTTACTTTCAAATGATTGTAGCTTGTCAAGGATACCAATAAAGGAGAATATTTGTAGGTCAGGGTTGAAATGAGGGGTCCTTGGTGCTTTCTGAGCTTGGTTGATTTCTTGCAGACATTTTATCACTCAAACTACCAGTAGGTAACACCATCAGTGCTAATGATGATATTACTAGTTTGGATAATGAAACGTTTGCAAGAAAACAACCAAGTTCAGAGGGCACCAAGGACCCCTCATTTCAAAGATACATATGTTTTTCTTGGCAACATATTGCTACAGATCAAATGTAAAAGACACTGTAAATTACTGTAAATAATAATATACATTTGATTTTTAGCAATGGATTGCTGTACATTTGAATTTGTCTGTTTTTACAAATTCTGGACAAATGTTCTGATTTCCCCTCCCTCAATTTATATATCAATAACAGATTCTCTCAACACAGAGACACCTATTTTATCAAAACATAAATAAAGTAAGAAAGGAGGAAATAAAATACTGTAGGATGATCTAAATTAGACAGTTCATATGCCATATATACCTTCAGCACAAGTAGATTATTCCACAGCAAAATTTGGCAGCAAAATGTTTGAAATATGGTGATGATTTTTTGATCTGTAATACCAATTCTGCCACAATCCCTGACAAAAGGCCATACATTTCCCAACATTGCAATTTCAGACTATTTTTTTGGGTTTGAAAAGAACTGAAAATTAAGTGGCTTTCTTTCTTGAAGGTCTTCTACTCCCATTCTCATTCTTAAAATCTGCTACCCTGCCTACAAAATAATTTGCCTTCTGTAACTTTACTGAAGATCAGATGGCTGGATTACAGTCCCTGATCTCTCAAATATTGACTATACCTGCCATAAATATAAAGATGTGTGGAAAAACATTGTAATTAGTCTTAAAAGAGCATGACCATAAAGCAAAAAGTACAAAATAACAGTAGACTGCCAATTATCAAGCTATAGTTACATAAAAACATTAGAAATATTTGGGAGCACCTAATATAGTGCCTGAATTTGCCTCTTGTACTTTACTAAATCTCAATACGTATTGTAATTTCTTTTTATTGATTGAAACATTAATTCATTTAAGTATATGCTGCCTCATTAATGATCCTAGCCAATTTAAACTCATGAAAATAATAAGGCATAGAATTAAAATCACCTTTAAAAAACCATAATCACTACCCTATCTTACATTGCCACCATGAAATGAAACCCTCTTCTGAAAAGCAGTGCCTTAATGGATTTCTTGAATGCAACGGAGAGGAAGGCAATGTGACCATGAGGCCACAATCTGTTTCTTGTCTCCTATTCCCTTAATGTGATTTATTTCATCCCTATTCTCAGTCAAAATTTTTCTTCAATTTTAGGATGAGAAAGTGGTTTTACTTCAATCCTACAACTGGAAAAAGTTGAAAACAGCATTTGATTATCTGACTATAGAACAGGGGTTAGCAACTTAGAGTTCATGGGCTGTATTACCCATTACCCAAAGTCATCCAGCCCACAATCTCAATAAAAAATATGAATCACGAATGAGGAGACAGCAACTACCTGTTCATCTGCTGATATGCGCACTCTCTACCTCCTTGGCTATGAAGTCGATTTGGTGATGATTTCACTAGCCACCCTTAGTGCAGATGGAGCCACAAGTCACCACGCTCAAGGTTGACTCAGCCTTCCATCCTTTCTAAGGTAGGTAAATTGAAGACCCAATTTGTGGGGGCAATAAGTATGAAGGCTATTGCTTAACGCATTGTAAGCCGCCCCGAGTCTCCGGAGAAGGGCGGCATATAAATCAAATTTTTTTAAAAAAAGTCCTCTGCCTGGTACCAGTGAGAGTGAATTGTGAAGTGGAGAAGGAAAAGGAAATCGTGATGGTGGCATGGCCTCTGATCCTAACCAAGGAAGGTTGCCAATTCCTGTCCTGTAGTAATAACCTCTCAATGTAATGAATTAATGGGAAGAATATTCACATATCTATGTGAATTGGATTTTTTTGCATGTGTGAAATAACCTAATGCATAAATGGTGATGGGATTTAGCATATCCATAAAATGGTGGAAGGCGTTTTGTCCAATCAATAAAATGATTGTTTACTGAGCTTGTGAGAAAGCTAGTTTCATAAATTTCACTATTGTTGTTGATAAGTCGCTTACAGTATTGCTATTTGTACAACCTTCATTTCTCACCTGTATATATACTTCCTGATCTCTTCTATTTCTTTCTCTCTCAATTTCATTGCAAATATACCCCAGCTGCAGTAAATCAATCCCAGTGCTTTATGCAGTGGATTGTTCACTAATCAGAATGTTGATTTTTCAGTGTCTTTGGCAATGCAAGATAAGTCATGAACATTTGCTTTAGAAAATGAGGAACATCTGATGAAGAAGAGAAAATCTGACAGAACAATGATTAATGGAAAATACAGAAAAGTGTAAAAACTTGGTACAAAGTTAAATTCAGAGAACACTAGAAGGTAAGGTTCTGTTTAACCATGTGGAAGTAGGACTTATTACAACTATGAAATTGAAACATGTTTGATATTAAATGTAAAACAGCATTCTTCAACCTGTCAGATGTATCCCATTGTAACTTCCATAATATCTAACAGCAGGACCATAATGGAGTTGAGGTACCAATGTAACTGAAGGCTGCAAAGAAATCTGGGCATATAGCATTCGGAAAAATATTTAATGCACATAATCTAAATACACATCACCAACTCAACCCTGGGGGTCTGTAATAAGAAATCCAATAATTAGCCCTTGTTGCTGCCCACAAATTATAAAAACCAGATTGTTAGTTTGTTAGAGGGTTGGTTAATGAGAACGTGATAAACTATCAAATAATATATTGTAAAATGTTACAAATTCATAGTTGGGGAATTGTGGCAAGTTAATCCATTTAAAAGAATACATCGAAAAAAAGTTATTGAAAGAACATGGGCTTATATTTTGAAAGGAATGCAATCAAGCAGATTAAATTGCCATTACAAAAAGCTGTGAGCCTTAGCAGGTAAACCAGTCAGGAAATCCATCCAGAACAGTTAATTTTACTTTATTGTAAGGCAACATTTACAAAACCTTATAAGTCTGAAAGTACAATGCCCAGTCCATCTCCTTTACATCCCAAGAAATTATGAAGGGCCTCTTCTGAGCTTCTCGCCCACCTACTATCCAGCTGTGGACTATGTTGTCTCTTATCTGACCATTCCCTAGACAGCCTCTCTGGGCCCATTCTCCCAATGTCATTCCCAAATGCCATTATATCAGCTGTAGAAAAGTATCTATTTTATTAACCCCAAGAGCTGTAATAGGAACTCTTCTTTAATCCTTATTTATTCAGAATTAATACATACTGTATATCTCACAGGCCAGAACTAGCAAATCTACTCACCTGTCAAGGGTTGGAGTAATGTGGTAATTCTTCGTTACTGACAAGATAGCTTTGATTAGATTATCTGTAGAGAAAGAAAGAATACTTTAAAGTGAAACCATTTCAAGGATTTTGCAAAATTCATAAGTGGGGTGGATAAAAACTTCAAGATCAAAGTGAATGCTGAATAAATCTGCACCTTAGGTTTAATTTATAACCCTACAAGAAATCAGAAAAGGAATAGCCAATATAAAATACAGATAGTCCTTAACTTACAACCACAATTGAGCCCAAAATTTCTGTTGCTAAATGAGTCATTTGTTAAGTGAGTTTTGCCCCATTTCATGACCTTTCTTGCTACAGTTGTTAAGTGAATCACTGTAATCGTTAAATTAGTAATACAGTTGTTAAATGAATTTGGCTGCCCTACTGTCTGTCTGCTCTGGGTTCCCCAGGCCCGCTGGAAGAACCAGGTCTTCAGTGCCTTCTGGAAGAGTATTAGAGTGGGGGCCATTCTAATCTCTGGGGGAATGATGTTCCAGAGAGAGGGACGCTTCTTCTGGGTTTCACCAGTTGTACCTCCCTCGGGGATGGGACCCGCAACATTCCCTGCCTCCCCGCTCTGATGGGTTGAGTAGATGTGACTGGCAAGAGACCTCAGATAACCTGGTCCCAAGCCATGAAGGGCTTTAAAGGTGACAACCAGCACCTTGAATTGCACCTGGAAGCAAATCGGCAACCAATGCAGCTCCTGCAGGAGAGGTGATACATGTGGACACCGGGGTCTGCACAAAACCATGTGGGCCACTGCATTTTGAACCAACTGGAGCTTCCAGATGCTCTTCAAGGGCAGCCCCATGTAGAGCACATTGCAATAGTCAAGACGGGAAGTGACTAGGGCATGAGTGACTGTGAGTAGGACTATTGCTCCAGGAAAGTCTTCTGGGTGCGCTTCAAGGTGTTGGTGACCACCTTTAAAGCGCTCCATGGCTTAGGGCCGGGGTACTTACGAGACCGCCTACTGCCACCAATAGCCTCCCACCGGCCAGTACGCTCGCACAGAGTGGGCCTCCTCAGGGTGCTGTCCGCCAGACAATGTCGGCTGGAGACCCCCAGGGGGAGAGCCTTCTCTGTGACGGCGCCCACCCTCTGGAATAACCTTCCCCCAGAGTTATGTATAATAACAGACCTCCGGATTTTTCGTCGGGCCCTGAAAACCTATTTATTTCAACTAGCTGGGCTGGCTTGAGCTAAATTTTAAATTGATTTTAAATTGGGTTGTTTTAATTTACGGCCAGAATATTTAATTATTTTAATACTGTTTTTTAAATTTTGTATGCTTTGTTTTTACTTAGGCTGTGCACCGCCCTGAGTCCTATTTGGAGAAGGGCGGTATAGAAATTTAAACAAACAAACAAACAAACAAATAAATAAATAAATAAAGGACGTAACTGGTACATAACCCGCAGTTGCGCAAAGGCCCTCCTGGCCACAACTGCCACCTGCTCTTCAAGCAGGAGTCGTGAGTCCAGGAAAATTCCAGATTACGCATGGGATCTGTTTGGGGTAGTGCCACCCCATCCAAGATCAAAGGTGGCAATTCTCCCTGAGCCAATGAACTCCAAACCCAGAGCCACTCGATCTTGCAAGGATTTAGTTTCAACCCGTTGCTCCCCACCCAGTCCCTAACAGCCTCTAGGCACTGTGAGAGGGAGGAGATGGCATTACTTAACTCACTTAACTTTGTTTGTCAGAAGGAAACAAAAGGTGATCAAATGACCCCGGGACACTGCAATTGTCATAAAATGAGTTAGTTGCCAAGCATCTGAATTTTGATCACATGACTATGGGGGTGCTGCAATGGTTGTAAGTGTGAAAAATAGTCATAAGTCATTTTTTTCAGTGTTGTTGTAACTTTGCATGGTCACTAAATGAACTCTTGTAAGGACTATCTGTATTTTGTGAAGTATTTCCTCACATTTTTCTCAGACATACACCAGCTGGAATTAATCGAATAATAAACTATCCTTCTCTGTGTACTGTGAGTTGAAACACAATACAAAAGGAGAATTTAATCTGTAAATCTGTTTAGCTAGGAGAGCAATACAAATGAAATTATTTATATTGTAATCATGGGCAGCCATTATTATAATAAAGGGAAAAAACTGCAAACACACTGTATTCAATGTCACCATAGTATGCATTTCTAATAATCCCACAGGTATATTTAGCCTCTAGTATATTTGTATGGCTTATCTCTACCAAGCAAAAGAGCAAGCAACAACATATACCTGGAGATGTGTTGATACCCACCTCTATGCCACAGGTAGATATTTCTGGAGAAAACCGTTTTTCAAAAAAGTGTTTTTATAAGAACTACACAATTTTAGATGATGCATATCATCTCTATAAATGATAAGCAGGATTCACCCAAGCTGCATGACAAGGAAGAGCAGATGCTATGCCTCCTCCTCAATCACGATACCAACACACAAGGTAAGCCAAGTTATTACTGGTATCTGAGCAGAAAATCCCAGAAATATTCCCTCACTGTCTTGTCAGTAAAAAATACAGAAATAATGCATTAAGTAGCCAGTAACTTGTCCTTTTTTTGAACCCAAATTCAGTAGTAAAGCCAGTTTAGTTAAGAACAATCATACAGTATATTAGCTTGTTGTGACATTATTTTTTATTTTATGTCTCAAAATAATTTTATTATAAAATTAAGTCTCCTTAACAGAATAATATTTTAAAGTCATATTTGGAGAACATATTGGTTTACAACAGAAAGTTAGACCCATTGTTCATACAATATCATCTTAAATATTCCGTATTTACTGTAGAGGGACATTGAATATTCAATGTAAAATTCAAGTATAGAGACCTATTTAAATGCCTATATGAGGTTGGGCATGATGCTCATTTGCAAAGAACGTATTTTGTATGTCTAATGTCCCAATCCTTAGGCCCTTAAGAACCAGAACTTGAAAAGTACCTCTGCCTGAGACTGGGGAAATATTGCTGGTCTAACATAAATTGAAATAATATTTTGTGCCAAATAAGACAGTATTAGAATAGAATAGAATAACAGAGTTGGAAGGGACCTTGGAGGTCTTCTAGTCCAACCCCCTGCTTAGGCAGGAAACCCTACACTACTTCAGACAAATGGTTATCCAACATCTTCTTTAAAACTTCCAGTGTTGGAGCATTCACAACTTCTGGAGGCAAGTTGTCCCACTGAATAATTGTTCTAGCTGTCAGGAAATTTCTCCTTAGTTCCAAATTGCTTCTCTCCTTGATTAGTTTCCACCAATTGCTTCTTGTCCTACCCTCAGGTGCTTTGACTCCCTCTTCTTTGTGGCAGCCCATGAGATAGTGGAACACTGCTATCATGTCTTCCCTAGTCCTTCTTTTCATTAAACTAGACATATCCAGTTCTTGCAACCGTTCTTCATATGTTTTAGCCTCCAGTCCCCTAATCATCTTTTTTGCTCTTCTCTGCACTCTTTCTAGAGTCTCAGCATCTTTTTTACATCATGGCGACCAAAACTGAATGCAGTATTCCAAGTGTGGCCTTACCAAGGCATTATAAAGTGGTTTTAACACTTCACATGATCTTAATTCTATCCCTCTGTTTATGCAGCCCAGAACTGTGTTGGCTTTTTTGGCAGCTGCTGCATACTGCTGGCTGATATTTAAATGGTTGTCAACTAGGACTCCAAGATCCCTCTCACAGTTACTATTGAGCAAGGTACCACATATATTGTACCTGTGCATTTTGTTTTTCTTGCCTAAATGTAGAACCTTACTTTTTTCACCATTGAATTTCATTTTGTTAGATAGCACCCAATGTTCAAGTCTGTCAAGATACTTCTGTATCTTAAGCCTATCTTCTGGAGTGTTGGCTATTCCTGCCAGCTTGGTGTCATCTGCAAATTTGATGAGTTCCCTATCTATCCCCTCATCCAAGTCATTGATGAAGATGTGGAAGAGTACTGGGCCTAAAACAGAGCCTTGGGGTACTCCACTGCATACTTCCCTCCACGTAGATGCAGTTCCATTGAGGACTACATGTTGAGTGTGGTTGGTCAGCCAGTTATGAATCCATCTGGTGGTGATGCTGTCTAATCTACATTTTTCTACTTTATCTAGTAGTAAGTTATGGTCTACTTTATCAAATGCCTTACTGAAGTCCAAGTAAATTATATCTACAGTATTCCTCTGGTCCACTAATTTTGTCACTTTGCCAAAGAATGCAATAAGTTTAGTCTGGCATGATCTGTTTTTGACAAACCCATGTTGGCTTTTGGTTATTACTTTGTTTGCTTCTAGGTGTTCACTTATTCATTGCTTGATTATCTTTTCCAGAATCTTTCCTGGTATTGAGGTCAGGATGATAGGTCTGTAGTTTCCTGGACCTATTTTTTTTCCTTTTTTGAAGATGGGAACTATATCAGCTCTTTTCTAGTCCTCTGGCAATTCCCTAGTGCTCCAGGATCTTTGAAAGATATAGTTCAGTGGTTCTGAGATCTCGTCTGCCAGTTCCTTCAGAACCTTGGGGTAATCCATCCAGTCCTGGTGATTTGAACTCGTCTAGCATAGACAGGTGTTCACTTACCATTTTCTTTCCTATTTTAACTTGTGTTCCTAATCTGTTTTTTGTGGTGCTGTTTTTGGTAGGTTGGACTGCTTTTTCCCTTTGTATAAAGATAGATCGAGTTAAGTAGTTCTGCTTTCTCCCTTTTGCTTGTCACCTTCTTGCCACTTTCTCCCAGCAATGGACCAATTGTTTCCTTGACTTTTTTCTTGTTTTTAACATGTTGGAAGATTTTTTTGTTATTTTTTACTTTGGTCGCAAGCCTTGGTTCATTGTGAGCCTTAGCTTTCCTCACTTCATCTTTACAGGCTCGGGCTATTTGCTGATATTCTGCCTTAGTTACTTGCCCCTATTTCCACTTTTTATACTTGTCCTTTTTGTCTTTCAATTTGTCAGAGAGTTCGTTATGCAGCCATGCTGGTTTCTTTTGAGAACTGTTATTTTTCTTCTTCATTGGTATTGTGCTAGACTGGGCTTTCAATCTTACT